ACCCCTTTTCGCACCCTGTTTATTATAGGCACCCATTTTTGATTACTATCGTATATAGTACAATATGACCCGAGACGTTCAAGATTTTCCTAAGGGATTTGTACATAGTTCAATATGACCCGAGACGTTTAAGCTAATCAGAAAAGCATCGGAAAAGTCTCAGCTCAAAGAAAGGACAGCCGGCGAAAAAGGTTACCGGGGATCCGTTGACGAACTACAACGAGAATTGTCCTGACTGCAAGCGTAATAACGCTTTGTCAAATGAACGTTATCCCTGCTGGGGTTGCGTGATCGCCGTGCCGATGCCAAATCAGATCTTGATAATTCCTCAGGAAGCGCAACGCGGCAACCTTGACGTTTTCCGACATTTGGTCCTGGGATAAACATGGACGAAACTGTCACCGGAAGATCGGATGATCCTTGAAGACAAATACCGAATGTTGGTCGGACGCAGACCGGGTTGGGATATCATCCTTGAACCCCGGAAAGATGCACCTAAAGGTCATAGTGGACTTGGAGTACCGGTTTTGTTGGCAATACTGAAAGACCTGATGAAAAAGAAGCGGCTGTGATAAGACAATCGCTGATACAGCAAATCGATGTCATTCTGCAAGATCCGCTCGCAGTCACGAAAGACGAATATGCCATATTCTTTGCGGAAAAGGTCAACCTGTCGAAAGGAGTTAGACCGTTTCAGGTCATTAAAATCGCGATCGAAGAACGCATTGATAAGATGCGAAATTTCCGACAGCAAGAGAAGGACCTTATTCAAGCACTTCGGAATTTTAAGAAAAATGAGTTCAAACGTTCACAATCGCCTCCTAAGGATGACAGATATCACGGCTATGAAAGGTCGTCAGACCGCTCGCAAGAAAGTCACGAGAAAGGTCACGGGACTTTAACTGTTACGACAGATACAGCGGATACGCAAAAGATACGCGTACATCAGAGCAGAAGAGAAGGGACGAAGAGCGCATCCGACGAGAACGAGAGCAAAGAGAGAAGCGCCGCCAAGAAGAAGCAGAAGATAAGAGATTGGCGAAAGAATATAGTAAGATCAATGAAACCTGTAATCGACAACAGGAGCAGGCTGCAAAGGAAGCGCAAAGCAGTGAAACAAATCCGAGTAGAGAAGGGCGAAGCGAAGGATCGGGCAAATCAACTTCGTCAAAAGGCCCGTATGACGATGAATAGGTGCGAGATACACTGCATTCCGGCGAATGGGAATTCGGAGATGGCAAAAGCAATAGCGGTAAAAGGTCATCCAGTTCGCAAGGTCACCGCGCACCGAAGAGTCCGCGAACAATGAAGTCGACGGTTCACGCTGTCTGTTCGACGTTCGAATCAGCCGAGAAACCATCAGCGAAGCAGCCAAATGAGCAGATGGAATGCAGTCCGTCATCCTCAAACGCAACTGAAGTTTACGTAGACGAAGATATGCCACCATCAAGACGAAATATCATTTTCGATTTTGACCGTCAGTTGACGAGCGCAGAACGGCAAGTAATGCACCGCCAGAATCAGAAGTCGAGAAAGGTCGGGCCCGGAATTGGACTCACCAGAGCCAGTCGCTCATCACCATCGAGCTGATTTTTGAAATGAATGACCTCACCGAACAAACCAATGAGATCTGCCGTTCAGTGGGCATTGAGCCAGAGAATAAAGAAGGAACTGATAAAGTGTACTGGCTTCTTTTCAACCTAGAACAGGTGTTGGTAGACTGCGGATACGCGAAGGAATATGAGTACGGTCAACGGGAAGACTTGATCATCACGCAACAATCTTCAAACTTGAATTACTTCCCAACGCGAGAATGCGGACTCGTCAATTTGATTGATCTTAGTCTCTTGGAAACTGCCCTGGATGCGCCAGACCCAACAGGGATGACGCAGTTCTGCTACAGGGACATCAAGGAGAGACGACTCCGTGTAGCGCAATTCATGTTACGCCATGTGAATCCGGCGTTACGACTCCTCGCAGGAAGAGCTGCGTTAGGATTCTCAGTTCAACCAGACTCACCGCCAGACCATCGAGTTACGATCCAGAAGATCTTAGCGGCAAGGCTGGGTCATCATGAGACGCATCATCAGCTGCGAAAGAGCGCTCAAACAAGAACAGAAATTCCGCCGGCACTAACAGCACAGGTCATAAAAATGGGAATGTCAATCGCAAACTTTAACTCTTCTGAAACGGTGAGGAAGCAACTGAAAGATTGCCAGAGAGCAATGAATGATGAATATCTTCGACGCCAGTCACAAATGTACGCTCATCAATGCGCGGAACGGATAAGACGCACGATGGGGACGAAGTTCATCCAGCCGTCAGACCTTGTCTATTTCATCCAAGAGATCAGCGTTAACAAGAGCAGTCACCGTCCAGAACTTGAGAGACGACCTCAGAACAATGACATGGGAAAGCGCGGACGGCGAAATCAACAGCTGCATATGGATTACGTCGACATATGTCAAAGGATATGCGAAAATCCGCACGACGAAAGACTGAAAGCGCAAACGATTGACGCCCGGGAACACTTAATACGCATTCAGCGTCGGCGCAGTCGAAATCGAAACAGTAAATCTTCAACCGGAGCGAAGGAGACGTGTTGCAAGAGAGAGAAAAGGAACCTCGAGTTCGGACGTCAGATCGTAACGAAAAAGAGAGACGACGTTTCGATTGGAACCGCGACAATGGTTCAAATGACCAGTGATGACCTTAAGAGCATCGCTGATGTGCTAGTTACGGCCGTCAGTCGGCAGAACAGTGAACGGTTATGAAGGTACAGTATCAGGGCGGAAGGACGCAACTTTTTAAACTGTCATATCGTTCCTGTCTTGTTGTTTGCAGAGTTTTGTTACAAGGGGATCAATGCTATCTTACATCTGTCGAGCTACGGTGGTCAACCGGCCCTCAAAGAGAAAAAGTTCGGTGACAACTGGCCTTCCTCATTTCAACATAACGTCACTTTCGGGGTGTAGTTGCGGCCTGCTGAGTCGGCACACTCCAGCGGAATGTCAGAAGGGACAAGGGAGAAAAAGAGAAAGAGTCAGAAAGGAAGAAACTTGTCACATAACGAGGTTACAGCGACAAAATATGTCTGCCTTAAGAGAAGAGTTACGGCAGTTAACCGGCCCTCTAAACTGGTAAGGAAAGAAGAAGAAAAAGTGCAAGTCATTGGAAGAAGGTTACGGCGTCACACCGGCCCTCTTCTCCACTAAAGAAAAAGAAAGGATATGCGACAGAAAAAATGAAGAAAATGAAGAATGATGGATGACCTTTTCAAGGGAGACAAGCAGAATTGCTTAAAAGCCAGAAAATCGGCTAAGTTTCTCCATGCCCTTTAATGGTGAAGTCAGTATGGAAAATGGATGACCTTTTGGGACCGTCACTGCCCAAATGGGTCGCACATCAGAAGAGAAAGGATGACCTTTGAGAACTTCACTGCTCAAGGGAGTCATGGGAACAAGAAAATGACCTTATCCAGGTAGGAAGCAATCTAGCTTGTCTTCGGCCGTCCCTACATGACCTTCGAAGGATCTCAGTGTTACGAAAGACGTACGTTGATACGCAAAGAATCCAAAGATGAAGAAGCAGTATTCCTAAAGTCGTGCAATGATACGCATCTTATTCCTAAAAGCAGATCTCATTGTGATGAAAGATTGCTCACATAGCAGAATGGGCCAAAGCGGATTACGGTTGACAGGACCCAGTGACCTTTACGAGTCGGAGGATCTTAGTCTCCTTGATTAAGAATTCTGTTGATATTTTTTTACTGTTTACTTTTGTTACGAGATCTCTTTATTCACATGTAAGATGGAATTTGTGATGTTAAAAGGAGAATAATCTCGATGTTTTTTTAATCACACAAACCAGCCGTGATGGATTCCCAAGGAACTGGAATTGGAGACTAGCCTCGAACGGAGCTCGGCATCCCTCCCAGAGGCATATGAGCGCAGGCGTACTATGGGTACACCCTCGCTAGTCTGTTGTGTTTTATTGCGCGCCCGCCTTATGCGTGGCAGTGCCTTGGGGTTCTGTGTGCACCCGCACAGTGCAGCGGTTACGTGCGCCTGCTGTGGTCAACAGTGCGAAGTTGGCCACGTGGAATTTCTATTGAAATTAGTGTTGTCATAAATCTCTAGCAAACACGCCATATTTTCGCTTTCCATAGCGTAGGCGCTTACAGCATTGCCAGATTTTCTTGGTAGACGGAGTTACGTCAACTCCGATTCTACGACGTGAACCTTGCCAGGTTCCCGTCTTATAACGGCACACGGGATTGCTTTTAACACAAGAGCGATTTTAATAGGTGCTGTACTAACCCACGTGCGGTGTGCAGTACCTACAAAAAATACCTGTACACGTACTTATCCAAGTAATGTGTATGCGAACCAGAACGCAACGCACACATGAATTATTGTACTACAACTCGTAAGTGCACTGCAAACTAAATTTCTACGACATTTTCTAGTACAGATTTTGGTGTACAGAGTTTTCTTGAAAACGAAAAACTCCTGCGTATAGCGTTGGCCTTTATTCTTCTTCCCGAATTTGGCTCTGGGCGCGTCGTTTTCTCCTTCCTTTCGGTTAAAATCGTCATGCACTAAGTGTGTTTAGTGCGAATCGTTTTGTCATTTTTGACAAGTTCCTTGAATACAGTGTTACGCGTTATTGTGTACAGTACTTACTATACAAGTATTCGTAGTTATTTACGGCTGCGACTTGGTGAAAAACTTTACAATAAGGCGATTACGATGTCCTTGCTTTCCTTTTTCCCCACGGTTTTATTTTGGAAATTTTTCGAAATTAGGTATGTGGGTTCTGGTTTCATGCAAATAGCCAAAAGAGTAGTCCAGCTATCAGACGGCGGCAAAATAGCTGACAAGCTGAACACTCGCAGTGTGCGGCAAAATAGCCAACAAGCTAATTGGCCGCAAAAACTGCGGCGAAATAGTCACTCCGAAATTTAAAGGCCTCCTCCGCAATATAAGCATCCTCTGCTGTATAAGCCTCTCCCCAGGCACCTTTGAAAATTTAGAAGCCCAGGGCTTCTAATTCGAAAAATACGGTATGTCCATCGTATCGTGTACGTTTGGCGTAAGTGTCCACTCGTCTGGCTCGTCCACCAAAAATGTCTTGATGCCATTAAATACTATCCAAATAAACATTAACTTTACTCCAATTTGGCGATCGCAGTGCGTTACTACGTTGCAGACGTCTGAACATTTAGAAACACGCCATACATTTTCCCTTGCGCCGACTCTATCGTGCCTTTTCGAGTACGAATGTCATTACATGAATGGCCAATGTATTAACCCAATTATAGTACCACGAAAGGGTACAGCGAATTTTGCGATGATAACATAATTCTGCTCCCAAAAACAAGCTCACACCGCTGGCGAAAGTAATGATAAACGCAAAGAGTGAAAGGACTGACGCTGCCGTACACAGCAAGCACGGACGCTTCTCGAACCTCCGTTGACATTCATCAGGCTAATCAGCAAACCAAATTCGCTTGTTTCCCACCAGTTCAACCAGAAAATTCAGGGAAATCCGCGACAGCTTCTCCAACTGCAAATCCCGCAGACCGTCCACGCACCACTTCTTCCCCCGAAAGTGTGCCGATGGGCGTGGATCAGCTGACTGTGTTGCACACAGTATCTGCAAGATCAATCCGAAATCGGTGTTGGACAAAGCGTCAATATCTTTTAGCAAGCAAGAAACTATTCAAAAACAGTAAATTCTACCTCGCACATGGCATTCTCGAACCTCACCTCTTTATTGCAACGGTATGGCAACCGGTATAGCTTCTGGTCGTTCAATGCCTGAACCTTCATCGCACTCGGTACCGGCATCACCGCATCTAATGCGTCACACAATGCGCAGCGAAACTGATTTACTGGCAGTCGCGTCAAAGGGATTTCCATCCAAACGAGAACCCAGTAGTCCCAAGACATCACGCAGTTGGTCATGACGACGGTATCACACGGCAGACTGCTGCAGACCGCAATAAAATGCGACAGGCGACCACAACTGTATTCCGGATCCGTCCAGGTGTCTGATGGATCCCGCGGATGCTGGCGACAGTCACCAGCGACTGTACCATTCACGACGTGGCCGATCTGCAAGGGAAACGTTAGCTTGCTCAACTGCAGAGTGAGCAGCCGGATTCTGGTTCGCTGGTCCGCCACGTAGCGGATCATATCGCACAGCTCCATCATGTCTCCCATATTCATCTGCCTGTTTCGAGCGTCTATCGCAATGTGTCGAGTGCCTGGATGCAAGCATTTATACAGCGTTGCCAAGTTTAAGAACTCCCAGCTCTTGTCATCGTAATCCCCGACCAGAATTCGGCGCCGCAGCGCTGGTGCGTTTAACAGGGCGTTCCACACTGCGCAGACCGCGCGCAACTTCGTCTGCGTCACCGTGTCCAAGGACGAAAACACTTCCAGCCACAATTCCCCTGGCAGCGCCAATTCTTCGGTGATTGTCGCGGACTCCCGTGGCCAAATATCCGTCAGGATCGAGAAGAGATACCAAAGAGTGAGCTTTGTCTTTTCCTAAACACCATACAGCACAGTCTATATGTATTTTGTATAACTCTATAAGTATTTTGTTTGGGAATAACTCACTTGGGACACGTATCGTAGTTGACCATGCACGAGGTCCAAGAAGTGAATACCATTAGCATAGCCACTACCAGATGAAAGCTCTGCAACATATTCGCAGGAATTCAGTCGTTTGACCAGCGCTTCAGCTTTGTGGGCTGAAATGTAAGAAAATTCGTCATCCAGCTTGACAGTGCGCTGGACGAATGTCCCCGGACGAATATGATCTGATGGTACAGCATCATCGTCATCTGCAGAACGCTTGTTCCTCATCATCCGACGCAGAAGAAGAGTTTTGTCCACTGGTATGCGAAGGCGTCCGATTGGAACGAAATCTGAACACAGCACTCCGTCCTCCTTCCGTCGCCAATGGACTACAGACCCCGCGTACTGCTCGTGCGCCGCATGGCGTTCGAAACGGTCCGTTTCCCCGGACAACCAAATCCACGGTCCCAACGGCGTCTCTGGTACCTGGACTTCCACGGAAAGGGCCGAACGATATCCGTTGTAGTGTACATTGTATTTATCCACGGGTGTGTTATTTAGCCGGAAGACGCTGTTGTACGGAACGTGTTCCCGACGTCGGTTGGGGCAGAGCATGTCCACGAAGAGACCATCGTCCGCCAGGTCCACAACGCGCGCGTACCGCATCATCCCGTCGGCGCCCAGAACCTCCACGCTGGTGCCATGGCTCGTTCTGCTCAGCAGCCTCAGCATGATGTGTCCTGTATGGGCAAGCAAAGTATAACGCAACGAACCACGATGTGCGCAGTGGATTCGATGATGTTCCAATAAAATCCTCCTAACGTCGTGACGCTCGTATAATTTGTAAGCACTTGAAGAAGACCAGAGAAAACAACAGCTCCGGTGTAATGCCTGGTGCTAACAGTAGCAACTAGCAATCAAGCAGAAAATAAGAAACTGCACACTCGCACAGTCTTACCGCATTAGCATAAGCCGAAAGTGCTAGTGCAGCTTGGTGATCACATTTCATTATACTCTGGAACCACAGAGTAAACCAGTATGTAATTAAGCATAAGCTGATTATGTTCGAAAATTCCGATATCCGGCTGCAGGACTCGGCTAATCAATTTACAAGTATGCATTGAAAAGCTATTTCGGCTGCTTTGGATTGGATTAATAGAAAAAGAACGAACCATGGCTAATACTCGTAACAGAATGCTGTTGCATTTAAAAATATCATCCATCAGAATGACTACACAGCAGCTCTCGCCATTTTTACGGAGCAAGGTGCAACGCGGACATCTTTCCTGTTTTAACTAGATTCCTCGTATTGATGAGACCATTACAGGATTTGCCGCAGCTAATCTTCTCAGTTCCAAAAATATGGTGAACCTTATAATACATTACTAATGTTTTTTATTTCATTTAAATATTTCTATATTTGTTGGCTTAACAGTGCTTTTTATAACCAGAATATTATTCTACACTGTATTGATAAATATTTTTGTATTATCTAGAACTTAGTTTTTTTATGCTTTACACAAGCATTTTCCAGGAGAAAATATCATTATAGTACTTAAGCGGATGCTCCTCTATAAACGAGGCCCTGGTAAGTAAGTTGATATTCTATAATATCCGCTGCATTCATGCCAAAAGGTCTAAGCGGAAATACAACAGAACGCAGGTTGTGTAAAAATAACGTTCCTGCATTGTTGCATAGAGACCGAAATTAATCAGACGTCAGTGCAGTGCAGCATTGTAAATTCTCTCGTGTGCGTTTCTGGCTTTTCAGGGTGTGTATCAGAACTGCTAGTACCGTACTTGTGCGCGCACAGGGTTTTATCAAACGTACGATATAAGTATTTCTTTATCCGGTTTTTGCTAATTCATTCAGTGAGGAACTTCGTCTGTCTTCGAACAGCGACCCTGCCGCGGATGAATTTTAGGGAACGTGTACATGATTCATCGTGAACTGTTTTATTGTAACCAAAATGGACCCGACCAACCTCGTACAGTTGGATGAACCGTTCTACACGGCCGAGCAGATTGTTGTCCCGCCCGAATTGCCGGAGATCCTCAAGCAGTTCACGAAAGCGGCGATAAAAACACAACCACCGGATCTCCTTGAGTGGGCCAGCAGGTAAGCTTTCACTTACATTTTCTTCTGCAGCTTTTTTTCGCATCAAAATTATACAAATAAAATACATTTATTGTTAATATGGTGCGCATTATCTACATCACGGTTATTTTGACACGAAGGAGACATAACTCTTATGCGAAGCGTTACGCTTTAGTTACCGTCTTCCAGCTACTTCCGCGCTCGCGCCACTGGACAGCGTCTGCCTATTAAAGATCGCCTGGAGCTGATTCCGGACGATTATGATGATCTTACGTTAGGTCTGCTCAAGATCCTCCATCGTGAGGCATGTGCCACCGAATTTTCGATTTTATTGCTTTTTTAAAAGAGAAAATTGGATAATTGTTGCGTGTTACAGCTTGGGCACAAGAATGTCGTCAGTCTGGCTGAAATCCAGGAGCACTGGACCGGATTGGGACTGGGACCGGATAAGTTCACCGAGTTGGTGGATGTGGGAAATTTCCCCGCCACGGTGGAATGGCACCGGTTTGTGGTGATTGCGTGCGGGAAACTCGGCGAGGTACATTGTTTTTCCGTAATGTAGGCCGTTTTTAATGCAGGCTTGATTTAATGCAGAACAAATAGTAAAGGCAATTTTTTTGTCCTGCTTGTTGCTGATGCGGTTGCGAAACACGATGCATCATACGTCCAGAAAACGTCAATACTTGTTATTATACTGAAGTACATTTTTATGATTTTCCAGCAAATCGAAGACATCTTCAAAAACTTTTGCCTGGTACTAACCAACGAACCCGACGGCAGTAACGCCCTGGTACCCTTCAGCCAGTTCCAGGACGCATACTCCTTCGTGGCGCAGACCATCGAGGAGATCGACGACGCCACCCAGGATCATTTTCTTGCTTACATGAACTCCGTAGCGTAAGTTCACGAATTGCTCTTTACGCGATAGTCGGTTCTTGTTTGACATGACAGTTTTGCAGGGAAAAACAGGGCGGGATGGTCCATCCCGGCAACATCACCTACCGTGACGCTCCGCCGATGGTGGCCGGCCCGCAGTCCAGCCGACAGGGAAAACGCTCGACGAAGCGGTCGATGAAGGGCAGTGTCGGGCGGTACGGGGATACGGAAACGTCGGATTCGTTTACGCAGGGCACTACCAGCAGTGATTGAGGAAATTAATTTTTAGCGTTTTCTGGATTTGGTGTTGCAACGAGAATTGGCTATAGTTAGTGGGCTTATTGCATAACGTAGCTGCAGCCTGCAGCAATAACGCGAAGGAAAAATTAATGTCGTATTTTGTAATATATTTTGATAGAATTTAAATGAACCACGAGTAATTCTTATGTTACGGTACATACATTGGAGCTACGAACGCTTTAACCAGTGTGTGAATAAAGCTATGAAAATATCCTGTGCTTGCATCGAACCGTGCCAGTTTTAGAACCCTGGCGTTGTAATAATAATTAAATACAATAAGTCATTAGTCACTTCACAATTATGGGCACTACTGGATTACTTCCGGCCTATATTTTCGAATACAGTATTGGTATTTGGTAAGCTGAACAACATTCTTAACTACTGCGAATCTAAGCAACGAACGTCAAAATAATACGTGCTGCAATTATTTCTTTTAACTCATGCTTCTCCAATAAATCTTGATTTTATTTGTACGCAGTTATCGAAAAATTCGACTTGATTTTCTTTGCGACGTGCGAGAAATCGGATTTTCCTAATCACATACTCCTAAACCTAGATTAAACGTCGTACTTCGTGATGCTCTTGTTGCAAAGGATTTTATTCGCACTGATGTGGTTAAACGGATCAGGCAGGTGTAAAGGGCGCCAATCGCCCATAACCAATAATTTCACAGGACCGTTTCCATAATATTGTTTTAATAAATCTTAATTTCGATGAACCAACGCAGCTGTTAACAGTGTTTTCCTGGACAACGATCCCGTCGCGAGCGAACGTTAGCCAGACACAGCCCAACGGGTGGGTACGTGCAAGCAAGCACCCTTCATGAAACACGGTTAATTTCTGTTTGGACAGCCTGGGCTGACAAGAGCCCCACGAGCCCGCCGTGAGACTCCCGACGCGCAATGCTTCATCTGCCTGAACGATCGCTACACGCCTGCCTGCGCCAGCAGCGCCCTGTACTCTGCCACGCCCTCCACCCTTCCGGCTAATGTCACAGTGGCAAAGTGCAAGCATGGCTGCCTGGTGGTGGCAGAACTTGGCAGTAAGTTCAACACCCTTTAGCTTCTTTAAGTCTTTCTGAACGTATGCTATTAACACGCGTCACAAAATGATGAATGATCACATTATTAGGCAAAACCCATCAAACTACCATAAACAGATAACGCGGACACACTACTTTACCGCTAAAATCGAAATACTTTATTGAAAAATTATCAAAATCTCCTATGGCTCCTCACTTCAGAGTTAAAAGGTCACGTTCTTAAAACCACAGTATCGTTTCCCTTTATGACAGCCAAACTATCGTAAACCGTTTCATTAGGAAATCACGTTTTCTACCGTTCACCAAATTTACTACCAATAAAATGCGACAAATCACTTTAGTCGTTGACTTACTGCCGTTAATTTATTGCGTTAGCTGTTTCAAGTTTTATATTAAGAATTTAGGCCGGAAATGCAACTTTTATTGTCTGTTTTATTAACAGAGGCTAAAATATCCAGATTCTATCACTACACACTCCCCCTGGGCGCCCCTGGGGGGCGCCCCTGGGGGGAGTGACTGCAATAAATTTTACCAAAACCAATAAAAATCTTTTTATTCTTTTTTAAGAGAAGGCAAAACCAGCGCACGCATGATACGAGTTCAGTGTTAAAAATTAAGGTGAATGTCCACTTCCGCGCGAAGCGCGAAACCGGAGACCATTTTTACTGCGGAAATTGCGGAAGTTTTGAGTAAAAATAGCAAGTTAGTGCGTTTATCACCAAATTATTTGAGCTAACGAAAGTTTAAGGTCGAAATACGATGCTAAGATCGAAGTAGAATTAAGAGATGAGGCTGGTTTCGCGCGCAGCGCGAAGCCGACGCACGTTTTTCTTGTGAGAATTGCTAGAAATTCTATAAAAAATAGTAAAATTATGATTATTTTATTTTCAAGAGACCCCCCTCTAATTTTTTTAACGGTTTTGAACTTTTTTAATCTTACACACTTGGACAACTAAAACTACACACTACACGTTTATCACTACACGAAATGTGTATCACTACACACTATTTTAGCCTATGGTTTTATATTATCATGACATTGTTAAGATGTTATTAATCTTACTTTATATTTTAATTATCAAAAATTATGAAAATTATGAAAAGGCGTAATTAAATTTCCCCAAACTAAATTTAATAAATTAAACAAATTAATAAAATTTTTTTGTCAGATGATTTGACAACGGCCAAGTTGTGGGCTTTTTTGCAGCGCGTTACCCTGGATCAGCTCCGCGTGAGATCAGCTCGGTCCGGCGCACCTGCGGTGACAACTGGGGATGGATCGACTATACCGGCATCTTTAACTTGACCCTGCCCCGCAGCGGGTTCATGTGTATGCACGCTGCTTTTGGGCGGCACAGTATCGTCTGTCGCTGTTCGCTGACGGACTACTGCAACGGCCGTATCACCGAGCGGGACATTTACACCTTGGCGTACGAGATGCCGAATCCCGGATGGGAGATATACGTAAGTCGGTAGGTGCGGGTTTTTCGCAGTCGGGGTGGTGGTTTTCCATCCACGACGCTGAACTCTGTGTCGAAGTCTTAACACTCTTTTTTTAAAAGACGTCTTGGGTTTGCCAATAAAAATGAAATAATACAGCTTAGGACAAAAAAGACGCATAATCCCATGCCCAGATATCCGTACGCATGTGGCAAATTCACTTTTACGACAACCGGATATTTTAGCTGGGTCGTACAGCGCACTACGCTGCATGCGTTCGGAATACTATGGGTGGGATTATGCGTCTTCTTTCCTAAGCTGTACTGATACACCATGAATAGTATTATAACAATTATTTGAGCAAACACTTCATAAATTCAAGCCTGACCTTTCCAGTACACACGTAAGAAGTGCGAGGAGTACGTGGTTTATAGTAAGTGGTACGAGTATATAAGTAGGTTGTGAAGAAAGTAGGAGGAACAAGGAAGTAGGAATCGCTAATTTCCTACCTGAATTTGGACTCTGTTAGTTTAACTACAATCCTCCGGCTCCGCTGCCATTGGCCGACAGCGTGATACCGGCGAATAATCCCGTCGGAACGCTATGGTGTATAAGCTGTGGCAACTGCGTCCTCAGCAATGCCACCCAGCTCCCTTTGGGCATCAAGCGCATCCCATGCCGTCATGGCTGCAGTATACGCGGAAAATATTACGGTACATGCCGCCATTTGGCCAAACTAAATACATGTTTGCTCAAAACACTGTATTACATTTCGTACCGAATTGACTTTATCTGGAATGTACGAGGTATTTATGCCACAATTTATATTTTGTGTACATTACGTAGCCCGGGTCAGCCTTTGACGCAACGTTATGCAGGCGTGTCGGATATGATCGGCAAGTTTATGTCGATATCCCGCGGATGTGGTGAGGACCAGCCGAACTTTGATCTGTTGAAGGGGATGGATCTGAGGTATCCCTTGGCCAGTACGTTCCTGTGCACACGCTGGATCAACACGATTGCAAAAGTTCCCACGTATTTGGTCTGTCGGTGTGTGGAGCATAATTGTAACTGGCAGCTGGACGTACCGGAACTGAAGACGATGGGCACGGAGTACCCTCCCAACTCGTCGGTACGAGGTTTCCTCTGGCACGCTTCCTGCAAGCGGTACCGCTATTGTAGCAAGTGCCTAACTGTATCATAGGAAATACCGAACTGTGTACCTTCTCTTTTTCATTAAAGCGTACAGTAATTGATTCAAGCGTATATAACACACCAATCGGTTTGCGTCGTAAACAGTAAAAAAGCCAATTTTTTTCTGCGACCAAAGACATCGCAGGAGTAGAATTAGGTCGCAGAAATAGAACCCGTTCAGCTCATTTCCTGCGAGAAATCTCCCTTTCGAGAAGGACAATCGCATGTCTTAAATTGTTTAGAGCCTTATTCTCTTTCCGCTACTGGCGCTTTCTGTGAATTTTACAGTTACAAATAACACTGTCACGAAACGCTCGCGATCCATATGGCGTTTATTGAATGAAGACTGAGAAAACAGCCTGTATCTTGTAACTCTTATGTCGGCTTCGCCATGAACTCTCTAGTGAGCGGGTCTATTAATTAGAATGGCGATTCAGTGTGGAGGTCATAATTTACAAAATGGTCTGTAATGCTCTGTAATGTAATAACCAGGAACTGTTGTGGTTACAGTTTTTGTGGCCACCCGTAAAGCCAACAACAACGCAGCCCACGACGACTTCAACTACGCCATTATCAACTACGCCGACAACGACGACCACGCGCACCACAATTCCGATAACTACCACAATGCGCCCAACAACGACAACGAGGACCTTGCCAACAACCACCACATTAACCACGACGCCGACAACATCAACTACGCCGATAAGGACGACCACGCGGACCGCAGTTCCTATAACTACCACAATGCGGCCAACAACGACGACGGCGCCCACAACCGCCACGACAACCACGACGCCGACAACGACAACCACTCGGACCACGCCAACCACGAGCAGTACTACGCAACCAACGACTACTGTGCCGACGACGACCACGACGACGAGAAGCAGTAGTGCGCCAGCGCCGATTAGCACGACACCGACACCGACGACTCCGCCAACGGCACCAACAACGCCGACAACCGTAACGATACCGACGACAACCGTTACAAGTACTGCTCGGCCGACTACTCCAACACAGACCAGTACACTGTCGCCTAGTGAAACAACGCCGGTGCCTACAGCGCCCGCAACCGTCTCGACGTCAACGACCACCAGCACGATACGTCCTTCGTCCACGGCGACGAATACCGTGCAGCCAACGACCACGATGCCAATGACCATGAGAACAGCGGTGACAACCGTCGAATCTTCGGTCTTTACTACGACGGCACCACCGACTTCGCCGCAGGAGACCACGGCACCAACCGCGCAGCCCACAGCACCGTCAACCTCCACGACAATAAGCTCAACGGCCGATATTTCCACGGCTGGTGCAGGTACAGAAAGTTTGACAACGGCTTCGTCGCAGCCAGTATCAACGTATGAATCAACAACAGCTTCAGTGTGGCCGCAACCCTCGACCACGACGCCCACATCTACTGTCAGCTGGGACGGCAGGTCCACCACCAATACGTCGACATCATCGTCAGCTACTTCCTCATCGGAGCAACTGACGGCGGAGATGGTGACCACATCGATGGAAGCGTCAACAACGGCCGCTTTCCTCTCTAGCGATACTGTGTTTACGCGTCCATCGCCGTTAATCAGTACCACTACTGCAACCATACCGACAACAACGCGGACTACTGGCCGACATATTACTGCACTAAATTTCACTACGGATGCTATCGATGCAGCAGATGAAGACGACAACTCACTGCCCATGATTATAATCAAACCGGCGGCGCCACCTGTTCGGCCGATTCTTCCTGTTTATTTTACCGGGTATGCACCACCTCCGGTGCATCATCATACAGAAATACAACCAAATCATAACAGGTAATAAATCTATTTAAATTAATTTAATTCGTAATAATAATACATAAAAAACAATATAATTATTTTATTAATAAAATGGATTAAATCTGTTAGAAAAATCGAAATTAGGCGGACGATAACTAGGAACACACACTACTATTTTGCAGCTGCTGGTCACTCCTGGCATTTCGTCTGTGCCGGAAGTTCCCCTTCGTATTTATACGATGATACAATCCGCAAAAAGTTGCGCCCGTTCCAACCGAGCGAGGACGAGCGAAACCCACCTTTTACGCAGCCATTTGCGGCCGTTCTAAGCGGCTGAAGATCTCCTTGTGATCGACCAACGGCAGCGCGCCCCGGTTGCCCTTATCGTGGATCTCTTTATGCGAACAGTAGTCAAAGTAGATATCCCTCAGATTCATGATCTCCGCCAGTCGTACGCCCACGGCGGTAACGGTGGCGACATCGTTGTGGCCCATCCACACTTGCAGCCGGTACTCGTCGCCGCGGTTGCAGAAATAGCAGCCGTTAACGCTGTCGTTGTACAGGCCGAACTGCTCGCCAATTAGCGCCATTAAAATCTCCTTCCAGTAGAAATCTACTTGGGCGGCTTGTTTACTACGCATGGGAAAACTATAGCGCCACATTCCACCTGAACACAAAAACCGTTTTAACCAGTGATATGATTTCCGCTTTGAATAATCACAGGGATTAGTACGCGTAAATCCTAACCACCTCAAAGACTGTTGTTCGTTTTGAGTTGTCCTTTTATTTATACATCTATTTGCCGATTTTTAGTTCCAGGATAATACTACCGAAAGTTGGTTTTAAAAATTTATGGATTCGAGTAACAAATTAACAGCAGAAAGTAGCACAAATAAGGCAATTCATTGAATACTGAATAGTAAGTAGAATAATCGCAATAATTATTGCAGTGTAGGAAGTAATGTGAAATTGAATTTCAACAACTGCCGCATTTCCAAAGTACTTCGGTGTATTGTTTTATTTTCTAAACAATGTAACATTCCCATAATTTCTCTTCAAATTTCAGTCTACAAATAAACAAAAGGCAAAACAGCTTTAAAATAATTAACATAACTAGCTAATTTATCATTGATTTTTTAAATTAGCTATTCTATCTAATTTTTATTAACGAAAATAATTTCATCGAGAATACCTAGTAAAAAAATTATAAAAATAAATAAAGAATTAACGGGTGATGAAATTGCAGTTTAGCAAAAGACATGGACAGTAAACAAAACTAATTAATTCTACGAGGCAAATGGTTAATTACAATTAAAATTCCTACGGCAGTTAGGCAATAAAAATCTAAGAAGAAGGCCTCAATAGCATGTTGAGTTTTTAAAGGTCATTCTACCTTTTGCATTCTTGCTGTCCTCCCAAGCTGCCAGTATCACGGGTGTGTCCGTATTTGGTCCCTTCCCGCCGCGGAAGAACATGTAATCCTGCTGGCGCGCGGTTTCCGAAGGACGCGGCATGCTGTTAAATCCATGAAAGAACGCCTCCACTGTGTCGAACACGCCCACCGGCAGGATCCCCGCATTCCAATCCGATCCCTTCTTCCGCGTGCCCGCGTTCATGTGGTACAACGTCCAGGCCGTCTCCAGCAGATGGAACTCCATTTCCACGGGCAGGGCGTCGTCGCCCGTCTCCATCACCGCGTCGGGATCTTCGACGGTCACCTCCACGGCGGTCTTCAGCGGTTCCAACGGGCTGCGGTGGCTGTCCAACTGGGAGACCAGGAATCCCGGGACGAAGGAGTCTTTGACGGGCGGCGGTGGGGGCACGTATTCTTCCGGCTCGGGCTCGTCGGGAACTGCATCCAGGGATTCGACCGTTGATTCTGGCGCGGAGTTTTGCGCCGGAACCGCGGAAAAAGTGGATCTTTCGCTGGGAACTGGCAGTTTAGAAGCATGATGAGTATTCGGTGAGGGGCCAGGTTCTCTGGACTGTATGTGGATCGCCGGGCGAGACCCCAGTGGCGGCGGCAAGGGCGGCGTTGGAATGGGATCTTCTACAAGCGAAAACGAATTATACGTATTAGAACCATAATCGAAGCAGATTTAAAATGCCTTCTTACGCTACAGTTTCATTTCATTGCTCGCAAGCCTTCGTTAACGCGGAGCTGTTCAGCACTGCAGTGAACCGTACTGAACTGAAAAATATGCTTTAGTATCGCCAGTATTGAAGACCACTTTTTACTACATACGTTATTATTTCGGACTGTGTCATTTAACAGACAGTTACCAAAGATCATGCTTTTGATCTGCGGTGTCATCTCAATCAGTCCCGGCTTGAGCACCGCCGCGTAGGAATTCCCGCGTGCCGACAACGCCCCGCCGTTCAACGACGGAGTGCTCTTCAGTTTGCTGTTCTCAATGGTCAGCGTCCCGGTCATTATGGGCGGCTTCACCGGCGTCCGCGGGCTCGGCGGAGGAGGTGGGGCGGCGGGCGCCTCGAGCGGTTGTACGGCGCGGGAGGGCGGACGGGCGTTATTGCCGCTAGCTGCGTTGGGAGCCTGGCGACCGCCCCGTTTCTTCTTCTTACCACCGGAATTCATATTGTTCAGCGAAATAATTCACAAGGTAATTGCAGATAGAAGGCAAACGGTTGTAGAATTTCTACTACGGTTGATTTCAGATACTGCGTGTAGTGCAAATCCTTACCAGAAAAACTATTTATTCAATTTAAACATTTTGATGGTGAGTGCTTCGGGAGCACTGTGTTAGGCAGATCACACACGTTAGACGTGGCAGTGTACATATCGATGTGCAGCCCATGTCCGTAACCTGTAACAGTACAGTAGCGTAACAGGAACGCGTTGATGTTTGTTGTGGTTTCCATGGTTCCGAGTCCTTTAAGAATATGCACATCAGAAAGACAGATTAATACTGGTCTCATGAATTTGATCTCTCAGTAGTCAGTATAACATGTTCTGCCGCTTTAATGTAAGTACAAGTACACTGTAATATTATGTGATGCTTTAATACAAGCGACATTTTATTAATTAAAAAAATACCACTGGTAATGCGTGCGTAGAGTACCTACAGCACAGTACCTAGTAGGCTAGTTGTAAGCAATTTCTTAACTTTGTCTTTTATCTTTATAATCAACTTATGCGAAATACAGCAATTACTCACTGAATAAACAAATACTAGAAAAATGCACGTTGGCGTGCATTGGAAGACCGGAGCGCAGCAGCTTTTCGCTTGGGCGAGTGAACTAATTTTTAACGTCCTACCAGTAACACCCATAACATTAGAATTATCATTAATTTTAACATAGCAACATAACCAGCACTATTTTTGTAATGATCTTTCGTAACGACCTTTCGTAACGGACACAGAGACATTTTTGCATTGGCGCTGAATTAGAGGACCTTCGCTACGCTCCGGTCGATAATTTTTATTGTAAAAAATATTTTTTTTAATTTTATGTTTTTTTTTTCTTTATTTTGTTTTATTCTTGGTCAGAATCTTGGTCAGCATCGAATTTTATTGTAAAAAATATTTTTCTAATTATAATGTTTTTTTTTCTTTATTTTGTTTTATTCTTGGTCAGAATCGCGTTTTAATTCATCAACGTGCACAGCGTCGACCGTTTAACTGAATCTTATTGAAAGTCTGATAAACTGCTGCCCCGCCGCATTTGCTAACACACACAACGCTCCCGCACGTCACAATCACCCGACTTAGACATCGTCTAAAATTGCCGTGAATCATCGCAGGAGTCTGCAGCGATTGGGTGAAATGCCATGCGAACGTCCAATATAATTCTCACTCCGCTACAACTGCTTCTTCTGCATTCTTCACATCGTTCTGTGCAGTTGTAGGGTTACGCGCGTAGCTGAACACATCGTCCGGCTTCTCGTCGTACGATCTCAGCGCCTGCAACAAGCACTTTTAGTCCCATCCAGATTTCCTGGCGAGGTCAAGCGTACTTGAAATCCTGACTGCAGCATCTTGGGATGGATATGCTCGTAGTACTTTGTACAGCGGTCTTTCTTCAATCCGATGAGGAAACGTGGCGACTCGAAATGCACCATTCCCGTTGGCGCTAGGACGGTGGCGACAGCGCCGGTGCTTTCCACAGTCGCCCTAAATTGACCTTTTTAAGCACTGCATTTCCGAATTAAAAAGCCAGAAAACTGCTCACCGTCCTCCGATGTAAATCACATCGAACAGTCCATGGTATTTCGATTTTTCGCACAGCTTCCCGAATGAACCGGGCGAGAGGAAGACGAATTTGTACTTCGGTGGCGCCGTGTTACCATCGCCTGTAGCCACAAATTTAAGGTCTTAGAAAAGGTCAGATTTAAAATAACAGCGCATAACGTGAGCTTGTTGTACCATCGCATTCACAGATCCGCTCCGATTTATCTATCTTCCTAGGAAATCAGTTATCAGTGCTTCGGAAATCTCCGCGGCCGACTAAAAAAATAAGAAAAAAATTATAAAAAAAAGAAAAAGGAAAATTAAATCATTCTAAAACGAAGAAAAAAATAAAAATGACGATTTTATATGCAAATAAATATTTTCCGTACAATGGTATCGATATTGTTGCAGAGTTTGCGGTATCGTGCCGCATCACTGCCCGGTTCCGAAGGCGATATACGGGCTAGTCAGCATGTCGCCCCAGAATCCCTGTAAACTGTAGCTCGAATCTTTCTGCAAAACAGCAACCATTACGGGCTCCATCTAACACGGCTGAGTAACTGCGAATAGCGTGATTAACCAACCGTGAACACCGAGAACTTGGACACCAGTGTGGGGTTCTGGTGGATATATGCACTCTCGTCCCGCGCCTCGAACGCCATCCCTGATTCGCGCCAGCGGAAGTACTTGGTGGCGGTTATGACGGTAGCCTGCAAAGAAACCCAGGGTCAGAAAGGGAAGATGATTTAAAAGTTAATGCATGTTATACAGTACATCATCCACGCACTCCAAGCTCGCACAGGTTCATGGAGAAATCCCAGTCGAAGGCGCCGATGCGGTGGTCGTAGCGGCGCTCCAGATCGCGGCGCAGTCGATTCTCCCTGTAAAACCATTTCCTGACACTGAATGACAGAAGCGCTTATTCGTAATGGCGGTTAGTTACTGCGCAGTGTGCACAAATAAATAGCAAATTGCATAATTATGTGAACTAACGCACCAGCATTTAGCCAGGTTGATCGTTTCCGGTACCGGTTCCGGCCCAGCGTCGGAAGATCAGCTCCAGCTCATCGCGCTCCCGATACTGCAGAAATACATTTGCTTTTGAACGCCACTTTGCTCAATAACGAACGGTAGAGCTCCATACTTTCAAGTGGGATATATCAAACTGGTTACTAGCGAAGACCTTCGTTGCGGGATCGTTCGCCACCCACCTACAATATGCAGCAGGTTCTAACGGATACAGCAAGTAAATGCGGCTATGATCAGCACACTACTTGGTCAGTTCTTGACAGGCTTGCTTCAGGTACGCTTGTGTCTGGTCGCGAATCCTGAGGTTACCGTATAGATCAAGGAACGTCTCTGACTTGGCTGCAAAGAGTTTAATAAGAACCAATTTTTGGCGCTTTCGCTGTTCAGAGAACTGCATAGGTACCTCGAGTGATATCTTCAAACAGCGTACTCAACAGCAGAATGTCCCGCGCTGTGTTTTCGGGCAGCGGATTAAGGATGTAAAACTAAACAGCATTAAAAAACAGTGAACTGTTTGTTAATATTTTACTGACTACCTTGTGTTTTGTTAATTTGATCACATTTTTATCATTTTTTTTTCTTACATGAATATCTTGCTGAGCCGCTTCTGGATCGCGGCAGCGTTCAGCCAGTGTTTTGATAATGTGACGACAATCCGCAGCCGCACATATCAGCACGTTGATGGGCTTTTTTGAAGCTGGTAAATTGCACGCAAAATTACATGCGGAAGGAAAATTAACCGACGAGCTGCGAATAATGATGTAACGAAAGACATACGCACTTACAGACGTCCGTACTTTGTGATGAATTAAGCTCTTTAACATGCGTAGTATTCTGCTGCTCGGCTAGCAGGTCCAGCGCCGGGGTGATGCCCCAGTACGCAACCGTTCCATGGCTGGACAGAGATTTTGTCGCCATATAAATTACACACGATTTTACTCAAAACCGATCAACAGTGCCAAAAATAGGAAAAACTCAAGGCAAAGAAGAGAGCAGTCTTTCAATTTACTCTATTTAAAAATTGCATTCTATTTGAAAATACTAAGTGACCTACTATTTTCGAAACTTTCTTGCTATGCGTGTTTGTGCACTTGCAGCTGCATTGGCGCAACATTAGTACGCCACGAATACTTGTACATTTGAAGTATTATTCAATATTAACTTTAAGCAACAAATTTATTTATTTCCACATTAATCAAACAACCGTGAAAGAAAGAAAAGCTGTACGACGGTTGCCAAGCTAAACACTGCAACGGGCAAAGCAAAATTTCCCGACAATACAGTAACGAGACGAATGATACATACCGTGATACACGCTCTGTAAAACTGCAGTACTGTCATCAGTTGTTATTCACTTGCAGTTAACTGCGTTCACTGATACACGTACGTACTATAAAATTGAATGAAAATTCTCGCGGATAACATTGCCTTTCGAACCCAAATCTGTTGGCTGGAAGCGAAAATCATATTTCCGGTTTGTGACCTTTGTTAACAGACGGCCTCAGACTCCGACGGCCTTTTTCAAAGCATCGAAAGCCCCGCCCGCCGTGTCTTTGAGCTCTTCGTACTTCTTCTTAGCAGCCTCGGTCAAATCATCGAACTGGTTAGCCGTAAGGTCGCCCATGGCATCTAATTTTGCTTGCAACACATCACCCTGTTTCTTCTTCTCTTCCTCCCGCTTGTGCTCCGCTTCGGCCTTTTTCTCTTCCTCCCGTTTATGCTTGGCATCCGCTTTCTGCTCTTCCTCACGTTTATGATCCGCTTCGGCCTTCTTCTTCTCGTAATGCTGTTTGGCAGATTCCAGTGCTTCCGCGGCCGCTTCCACCGTATCGGCGACCTGAGCCTTCACCTCCGTAGTTTTCTGGGCCGCCGTGTCGACGGCGTGGTCTTTGAGGTCTTGTGCTTGATGCTGAACTTGCGTCCAGCGTTCCTTGAACGATTCCTGCAGGAGAACGAATTAACGAACTACGCTTTGGCTTTAACAGGGTTCGCTACGACGACGTACTCTATCAGCGCTTTCTCGGCGGATGTTTTGCGCTGTAAATTCACCTGTGTGTCGTCGATGGCCTTCTTGGCGTCGTCCTTGGTCTCCACCGCTTTCCCCGCGACGCTCTCGTAAGCGCTGCTAATCCCGTCCAGGAATCCGGCGGACACACTGGCCAAGAGGCCGGTGAAGAGTACGAACAGCATCAGACGATTCATGATGGCGCGGTTCGCCCGTAGTATGTGTTATTTATGAGGTAGTAAAGTACTGCATGAACTGTGTGTTAAAATTTTTGAATAATTGTGTTTGGATAATTGGTTTTTGATGGGTTGTGTTTGTGTCTGGTTGCTAGCTGGCTGCATATAAAGCACTCGTATGATTGTAAATCTAATACTTTACAATATAATATCACCTTTACAAGGACGGTCATGCATTAAACGTGTTTGAAGCGACATTATTAATTTATATACAGTAATAAAAGGGTCAATCGAGAACGCTACCACTAAAACGCTAAAGACAGTTACGGCATTAGTGAAAAATATCATTATTTAAAGTTTATTTCGATCTCAAATTCTTAGAACAAATCATTTAGGCTTAAAATTAAAATAAAAAGACAGCAATAATGCGTTGTAACAAGTGCGGTAGTCTGATCTGCGTAGAAACGGATAGTTTCGTGGGATATTTAATGGACGCTGTATATTCAAGAAAATTAACGAACTTTGAAGAAAACACCAACAAATAAACTAAAAATTTACTAGCACCACCGGATGCACCATGTCTAGATAAAGGGGTCATCTGGTCTTTGTTTTGAAAAAAGACCTGCTTCTGAATCACCGAAATTAACTACAGAGCATCGGGCCCATACTACAGTACAATGGTGAGAAATGCCGCTCTTTATTCCTTCCATTTGGAACTTGCAAAAATGGAGCCAGTGTACATTAAAACGGTGCTCTTAAAGCATCTCAAGTCGTACTGCTTATCAACGCTTTGAGGGCGCTTACGAGTGTACAGGTTGGAAAAGGATGTAAGGTCACGAATCAGCTATGATCACGATCACCAGAGCGAGAGAAACACCCGTTCACTGTGCGGATGCCAGCCAAGCGCCAATCATGCTACGAGTACGTTCATAGGAAGCTGACCAGACCTGTTAGTCACACATGGTAAACCGCTTACATTCATTCGATTTAATATTCACGACCACGAGCAGCGTCTTTGTGCGCTGCAGCTACATCTGAAAGTCAGCTGGTAGCAAATATTAGGAAAAGCAGAAAAAAGGCAGATGGATATCTGAATACCTACTGTATACGTCCCAGAAATTTTTATTACCCTATTAACAACATTTATATGGAAAGACAGTGCTAGAACGACGACGCTTCTCGACAGGAAAGGGTGCTAACGCAAATGCATACTGTGCGAATGTTGGTTCGGTAATAGGTTTTTGGTCATAAATAAAAATCACCGATGACGGGAATCGAACCCGTGTCAGCTGCGCCTGTAGCCGTCCGTCTTACCACTGATCTACACCGGCTGCATTAGTAAATCTATAGATCATATAAAGGCTCTATCTGAACTGAATCTCCATATGGGAGATACGCACTGAATTTCCAAATCAAATGGAAATGCTAACGCACAGTACCACCGCGCTCACAACAGTTTCATATGTTTCGGATGAGTGGCTCACAGATAACCGCATATGATTCACAAGAGTGCATGTCGGTTCATGCAAATCGCTCAAATCGCTTACAGCGCTGACTGATAAGGCCTGGGCAGTTATAACTGTACCTCGTTCGTCACGAATTCCGTCGTATTTTGACAAATTTTGTTCCGAAATACAAAAACTAATTTCAGCTCATGACAAGAATCTATCGGAATGCAGTTCGCTTCTACACATAGACCTACATGTTTATGTGCAAAGCTCCGGTTGTATAAGCTTTATATGTAATGTTAGAACACTGTGAAAACAAGTGATCAGGCGCAGCGCTTTCCACTTCCAGTCGCCCATTGTGCATTTTTTCTTAATTTTCTTATTCTTCATAATTGATTATGAAATCTGCCTTTAACTCAGCAATCATGCGTAAAGCGCAGTATGCATCTTTATGCACCTGCATATACGTATATAATCATATGTATGTATATAGGAAGCACTCTGTAATTATTATTATATTAATATCACTTTCACTGATCTAGAGAGAGTACGCACAATTACAGAGACATGACTTGCAAACTTACGTATTTTGGTAGCAGCTAAAAAATGAGTACGACGTTGTAAATGACAGTCGGCATGTGTAATGTTTCACACGCGCCATGAAATACTAACCGATTAAGTTAATTACTTAAAAAAATTAATGGCCTTGTATCTGCAAATTAAACCTATTTGCAATTTTGCAGATTAAATCTAGATTCCTAACCATGGTAAGCACAAAACTGAAACGGTCCGCTTTTATTTACAGTACTGTTACTAAACTCTTAAGCATCTGTATGCTTATGAACTTATGATAAATGCAAAAATAATTATTTCAAGAGCCAGATACCTGGTAATTTACCGGTAGTAAAGTTAAATCCATCTAACGAATAAATACAGCTCGATATGCATACTTTGTTAACATACGCTGATACGCATAGTATACTTACGGTAAAATATAATTAAAAAATACCGCGGTATTATGTTTTCCTGTTTATTTTCCTTAATCATTATGATTAATTAAGGAAATTAAGCGGTTAACAGCTGAACTCTCGTAGCAAACGCGCATCATCTAATTAGATGATGCTGCCGAGCGCAGCTCATTTAACCCAAAAAAAACTGAACTGAACACTCTACAAGAAACAGTGAAATTATATCACCACTATTATCAACATCATTCATACGCCGAGTAACCATCCGAACGAATGGACAGCAAAATTAATAATATGCACGGAGCACGATGAATGTCACACAGCCATCTCTTCACAATCAGCTGAGCCGAGGTTTTTGATAACGCCAAAGAGGGTGAAGGGACAGACGCGGCAACTTCTCCGGCTGCAAATCCTTTAGTCCGTCCACACACCACCGTTTCCCGCGGTAGTGGGACGAAGGGCGCGGATCGCTCGACTGCGCAGCACACAGTGTCTGCAACGCCAACGAAGCTTCGAATTGTGGTTTAAAGATAAATGCTAACGGCACTCATTCGGGTTCACAGCTCCTGTTTCAGATAACCGTACTGCAACCGGCGCTGGAAGCATTTGTACGAGGCAAGCGACAACTCTTTCCCATCGCTTTAGTAAATTACATCACTTTCTCTGCTGCATCTTACCCGTGTGCAGGCGCTCACGTGATACTTGATTCCAGCCGTTTCACGTCGGTTTTTCAGCTATAGTTGATTGTGCAAACTGATAAAGAATATAGAGAAGAGCACGGCAGGCGAGATTTTATCGCCGGCTCAGTAAGCGCTGATTACAGTGGATACGATATCAGTATCACGTGAGCGCCTGCACACGGGTAAGATGCAACAGGGAAAGTGATAAAATTTACTCAAGCGATGGGAAGGAGTTGTCGCTTGCCTCGTACAGTTTCAATTCTCACCTTCCGCAGGGCGTTGTCAATATGCCAATCTTCTGCGCTGCCAGTTCCATTACAGACCTGAGCCAGGAACGAGCACAAATCCCGCCGTTCTGACTCCAGTAGCGCTGGCAGCGCCGCTTCCAGGGCATCCCACAGCGAACAGCCGGAATCGGAACCCAGTGACATTCGCGACGAAAACGGACCAATTCCATGTACTAGCTCCTCACCTACGGAGCGGAGCAGGGTGACCGTGCAGTTGGCCAGGCGGATGGCGTCACACGGCAGGCTGCTGCATAATTCCACAAAATCCGACAGGGAACACAGGTATTTGGCATCGACTACCGCCTGATTACTGCCTTCACTCGTTCCATGCACAGCGCATTTGTTCGGCTTCCACCACACGTCTTCTGTGGAGCGATGGATTCGCAGGCTCAATAAAAGACCGCTGAAGTACACGGTCCGCAGCCGTTTCGGTCTGATGCGCCGCGACATGGTGGATCATGCCCAGCGCCACCACAATATCCCTAGTGACCAAGCGGCCGCCTTCCGCTAGAAGGTGCTGGGTATGGGTGCCCAAACATTTGTAAATGACCGCCGAGACGAGAAAACGGGAATAGTCGTAGTGTCTGCGGCTCGAGATAAGTAGCGTTGCGACCAGCGTCGGCGCGGTGATGATTGCGTTCCATGCGACCGATACGACACGCAGCTTCGTCTGCGTCACCGTGTCCAAGTGGGAAAACACGTGCGTCCATAATTCCGGAGGCAAGACACTGCTCCCCATGTTTTCCTGTCGTTCCTGCGGGAATCGTAGGGAACGGAGCCGGTTGAGTTTGCCAGCAGCCAGCTCTGCCTGCACATTGCACTATATTTACTTTACTCGGCAGAATAAATTTTGACTGTAGAACACTTTGCTCACCAGATCGGTTTTCTAAGAGGCATCTAGGTCTCCCTGGTACTTCGAATTTTAAACCAAGTCCAACCCGCCATCCACGAGATCAGTCATGCAAAATCTTGTCCGGCCGAAGCACAGAATGATAATATTCACGGGATGCCTTCATCAGCGTTGCGGCTTCTTCGGCGGACATAGAGCGAAATTCCTCATTCAGTTGCACAGCTACACGGGCAAACGCCGTAGGTTGGACAGGCACACTCTGCTTCCAGTATCCCGGCGCGACTGCCGGCGTCCAACGAAGACGCTGAATTGGGACAATATCTGTGCGGCTCATTTCGCTGCCCTTGGTTTTCCACTGAAGAACGGCCGCTTCGCACCTCCAATATTGCAAGGCGCGTTCTGTGCTCAATATTTCGGCGTCGAGCCAGATCCATGGTCCGGACGACGTCTCGGGTACCAGCACTTGCACGGGAACTCTCTCGACAAAATCCTCGAAATATTCAAGAGCATCAATTCGGAAAGGCAGGGATACGCTTCCGTGAGGGTAGAATTCGCGTCTCCGATGAGAACAGAGTAGGTGGATGTAGAACCCATGGGCGGTCATAGAACCCATGGGCGGTCATGTCCACCACGCAACCAAAAAGCACGAACCCGTCTTCGCCCAGAACATGGACACTGTTGAAAAGGCCGATTCCGCTGGGCATGGCTGCTATCGGTGATCGGCCAGGTTAAGAGAGCAAAGTCCTTGGGTGATGATATAAAAAGCAGCAGCGGCAGTCTAGTTGATTGCCGTAAGAAGACTCGCGGAAAACTACGATAAAATTTAATGTGCATGAATTTCCTTCCAAAGGTGAGAATACTAGTACCAACAATCCCAACAGTAAACTGTGGTGCACATGTGCGCCGTG